TATCTCTTTATTTTTGTACATCATTTCGTAATTAAAAAATTAGTTTATAAGTCATACCTAAAATAACTTTCAATGCTCGGGGAGCATTACCCCAAAAGCATTTATCAATTGACATTTAATATTTTATCTCTTAAAATTTTAACATAAAAGTGATGAATCTCATGATTTAAACCAATAATTATTAATTTAGGGTACCATTTAAATTTATTTCAAGAGTATTGAATACTTTCTCCTAAATTTATTGTAATAAATTATGAGAGAGTGTTGAAATATTTGGCAAGAAAATGATGTGACGATCCTATCGTAACATCTCCTAAATTTATTGTAATAAATTATGAGAGAGTGTTGAAATATTTGGCAAGAAAATGATGTGACGATCCTATCGTAACAAACATGTTGGGCTTGTTTGGTTTGTATTTGAGAAACATGTTTTGAGATAAAAAGTACGAAAATTTATTTGTTTTGGTTTTTTTTTTAAAAGATGTTTTGAAAAATTATTTTGAGAGAGAGTTTTAGAAAAAATGATTGATTTGATGTGTATGAGAGAGAGATTTGTTTGGAAAACTTATAAACCAAACAAGTTTTCGAAAAAAATTTTGAAAAAATTTGTTTGGTTTGATTACTTTTGAAAACTTATTTGTAGAGAATTTTTTCCAAAATTTTTTGAGAAACACAAACCAAACAAGTCCGTTGTTTCTAAAAATGCGAATAATAAATAATAAGGTGTACTATATGTAAATTTTAATACTTATGAGTTTGATTATTATAATAATCATAATTCAATTTGGGAGTTATAACTTTAAAAACAACAAAAAAAAAATTATAACTAAATATCAAGACATAATCAAAAACCTCTTGCATCATAATTAAAATAAAATCATAATCAATCACAATATATTATAACTAAGGCTCCGTTTGTTTGGATGAAAATAGTTTTTGCATTTTCTACCATTTGGTATAACGAAAAATAAAAGTCAATGGATAACATTTTCTATCGATGAAAAATAATTCTATTTATGTGGAAAATATTTTCTACTTTTAAAAAACAGAAAACATTTTTCAAATTAAAGTTTTATTAGTGCCACCACATTACTATCACTACCATCACTTCTACCACTACTACTACCACGCCCACAACCACCATCACCATTGTTGCCGCCACTACCTCCACCATCTTTATTGCCCTCCAGCCACTGCTATTACCATCTTTACCTCATTATTACCACCACTACCAACGGGGGTGGAGCTATAGTATATTTCCTGGTGTCGATTGACACCACTCAACTTTTAATTTTTCTTGAGAGTAAAATGTCTACTTTAATCAAAATGTTTGGAATTTTTAAAATTGAATCAAGTGAACTTAGTTAAAGAAAAGAGAGTTGGTATTCATATTTTACTTTAGGAAAAGTCTACAATGTGCACCTTATAAAAGGGCATATGATATGCACTTATTCTATGGCCCATATCGTGCCACATCATAAACAATGACCTGCTAAACCGGTCATGTAACAGGTTACAGAAAGAATCATAACATTCATTGTAATATCATAACAATATTACAATGAATCATAACAATTTCATAATATTCACCAAAGTGTCATAACAAAGACACTATAAATCATAACAATATGATAAGAACTCATAACAAATATAGTTATTTGTAATTAATTATCATAACATTTGAATCGTAACATTTGAATCGTAACTTTTGGTGGTACAAATCATAACTTTTAGTGACGATTCATAACCATAACACATTGAGTATAACTTTTTTTCCCACAATCATAACCACATTAACAAACTATCATAACTTTTATCAATGAATCATAACATGGCATGTTGATTATAATTTTGTCCCAAAAATCATAACAACATTAACAAAACATCATAACTTTTAAATTTTCAAACACAATTGATTGTGTAATCAATTGGTATAGTATATTGGAGTGAATGGAAAATCGTAATTGATTGCAAAATCGATTGGATTGAAAAACCGCAATTGATTATACAATCGATTAGTGGCTAGTGTTTTGAACTTTCACAATTGATTGTACAATCCATTAGAATATAAGGGAGATTGAAATATGACAATTGATTGGACAATTGATTGTACAATTGATTGTAGGGATCCTTGATATAATAAACCTAATTGATTCAGTAATCAATTAGTTTTCATAAGCCACACTAAACCAATTGATTGTGTAATCAATTGGTATAGCATATTGGAGTGAATGGAAAATTGATTGTGTAATCAATTGGTATAGCATATTGGAGTGAATGGAAAATCAAAATCGATTGCAAAATCGATTGGGTTGAAATACGTCTGCGTAACAGGGGCTTTGGGGGAAAAAAAACTGAAGAAATTTGAAAAAATGTCACCGGTTGAAGAGGTTGTGAATATTCCTAATTAAATAATTCAGTGGCTGAGATTAATTTATAAAAATCTAATGGTTTAAAATAGATGTGTATATGATGTGCACATCTTATTGAGGTGCACATCTTAACAGCTCCCTTTACTTTATTATAAATACATTCCAAAAATTTGTCTTTATTGTTTAAAATTACACATATATGATTCTTAATGCACATTAAAACAATGTTTTTTTGAAAAACATTTAGAGAAAATTATGAGAATGTTCCATGTAGGAATCAATTACTCCAACCAGTCACGTGGATATTCTAATACACTGATAGGTCCTATTTGTTCTGACAATCTTATCATAAGATCCTATTTTAAATTTTAATATGATTTGGTGGGCATTTCTACCCTTCCTTATTGGGGGATGCTATCTTAGGAAAGTTGGATCCAATTTTTAGATCACGTTTCTGTCACTCCAATGTAATAACGTAACACACTAAAAAACTATTTAGTATATTTTTAAAAAACGTAACACTCCTCCGACGTAGCACTAAAAGACTCCGCCAACGTTTTAACATAACACACAAAAAGACCTCTTAGTTGTATTTTTTTCTAACGTAACACTCCAATAACGTAATACTCTAACACTCCAACGGAACATATTAAAAAATTCATTAGTGTATTTTTCACAAACGTAATACTCCTCCAACGTAATACACTGAAAAACTCCTCCAACGTAACACACTACACTAAAAAACTCATTAGTATACTTTTTCAAAATATAACACTTCTCTAATGTAACACACTAAAAATCTTTTCAGTGTACTTTTTATAAACGTAACATTCTAACGTAACATAATAAAAAGCTTCGTAGTGTACTTTTACCAAATATAACACTCTAATGTAAAACTAACACATTAAAAAACTATTTAGTGTACTTTTCATAAACGCAACATTCATCCAACATAGCACACTGAAAAACTCCTCCAACGTTATACTCCAATGTTACACACTACATTAAAAAAAACTCTTTAATATACTTTTTACAAACGTAACACTCCTCTAACATAACATACTAAAAAAACTCTTCAAAAGTAACATTCCGACGTAACACATTAAAACTTTTTAGTATATTTTTCTCAAATGTAACACTCTAATGTAATTCTAACAAATCAAAAAACTCCTTAATGTACTATTTCCAAACATAACACTCTAATATAACTCCTCAAATAAAACACTCTAATGTGACGGACAGATGAGTCATTACACATCCAAAAAGGCTAAATGGATCATAATAAACATATAAGACTATATGGATCACAATTCCAAAACATGAGATTTATTGTTTAATCTCTCAAAAATTTATAAAGAATTGTAGTGAAAATAATAACTACATTTGTCATGCTCAAATTCTAAAAAAATTTCTTTAGTGTTTAAAATTACACATATATAATTCTTAATGCACATTAAAATAATTTTTTTTGAAATTTTTTATAAAGAATGGTAGTGAAAATAATTACATTTCTCATGCTCATTAATTCTACTAATCCCAACTACAATTGTGAAATGATGTTTTATTTCGATGCAATTTATAAAAAAATTCAATGTGTGATGGTTTTTTTTTTATTTTTTATTTTGAGTAACAAGCACATTTAACGCACTGATTGTGTAATATCATTTTGTAGTATGACATTACGGGTTCAATTTCTATGGGGAGAAGTTTGAATTCTTCGTGGTGTTTATTTCTCATTTATTTCTTTCCCCCACTATATAGCGATTTCAAAAAATAAAAACTTGTGGACAATTGTCTAAGCTTAGAAGTTTGTTTGATTTTGCTGAATTATTAATGTCTCAATTTTTGGTTCATATATAATTTAACAAATTTGAAATACTTTTGTGAAGGTAATTGAAATTATATAAAATTACAGTATAAAATTTGATTTTGATAAAAATTTGTGCAGAATTTATATTGACATAATGATAATAATAATGTTTGTTAATTGACATTGTTAATTTAAAATCCTGATTACACCAATTATCATCATCACCGCCGCACTACTAAAGCCACCCCTCCAACACATCTACTTTATTAGCGCTACTATTACCACAATTAATATAATCATTAATAAATTAATTTTAAAAATACAACTAACATAAAAATAAATAAATAAATCTATAAAAAAAAAAATTGTGTCTAAACAAATGAAGTGTAATATAAAATCATAATCTGACCACAAATATGGCAATTAGGGTGCTACAGTATGTTTGTTTTGAGTTTGAGAGATGAGTTTTAGAGATAAAAAATACGAAAAATTATTTGGTTTGATTTTTTTTAAAAGATGTTTTGAAAAATTATTTTGAGAGAGAGTTTTAGAAAAAATGATTGATTTGATGTGTATGAGAGAGAGATTTGTTTAGAAAACTTGTAAACCAAACAAGTTTTGAAGAATTTTTTTGAAAAAATTTATTTGATTTGATTACTTTTAAAAATTTATTTGTAGAGAATTTTTTTTAAAAATTTTTAAGAAACACAAACCAAATTTGATTACTTTTAAAAATTTATTTATAAATAAATAAATCTATAAAAAAAAAAATTGTGTCTAAACAAATGAAGTGTAATATAAAATCATAATCTGACCACAAACATGGTAATTAGGGTGCATCAGTAAACACCCAAGCCATAGAATTTCCCAAGTAATGAACACACAGCATTTTCAAGTCTCCTCCTCTAATCCATCAATTTCCAAAGTGAACTTATCCATTCCATGGAGACCTCAACACCACCACCAAACTACAACCGATTACAAGCCCTTAAAGCCTTCGACGAATCCAAAGCCGGTGTCAAAGGCCTAGTCGACCGAGCCATCACACAGATCCCCAGAATATTCGTCCGACCCGCCGACGAACTCACCGGCGATCATCCCATCTCCGACGAAGTCCCAATTCCGGTCATAGACCTCGGCGGCGGCGCCTCGCTCGGCCGGTCGTCGGTGGTGGAGGAGGTCCGGGGGGCAGCAGAGAGTGTGGGGCTTTTCCAGGTGGTGAATCATGGGATACCGGCGGGGGTGGTGGATGGGATGTTGGCGGCGGCGCTTGGGTTTCATGAGATGGAGGAGGATGAGAAGAGGAAGTTGTACGTGAGGGGGTCAGATAAGAGAGTGAGGTTTGGGAGTAATTTTGATTTGTATGAATCGAGGTTTGCTAATTGGAGAGATACTCTGTTTTTTCTTATGGGTCCTGACCCGCTCGACCCGCTCGAGTTGCCTCAGATTTGCAGGTACACTATCGATTCTTTCATGAATCAAAATCCTCTTATTTCTCATATCCGATCAGTTTAAATTTTGACTGATATACTCAACAAATCTTAAAATATGAACGGTTCAAATTACTGAAATCAGACCCGAAAGTGAGCCCAATGACCTGGGTAGAGGAGAGTTAAAGAGGGAGATGATGGAGAGAATCTTGATTCTTCTTTTATCACCATTAGTCTTTGTTTACATGTTTGGGATTATCAATTGAAGTATAGATTTTGGGAAATACACCCTTCAAAGGATATGCAATATATCCACCTGTTTTTGCATATGTATGTCAAAAAAAGGTGGATATATCCGCCTTATAACCACAGGGTGTTGGCTCAGTGAGATATGAAAGTTTATTTCCTTAAAAGATTTGAATTCTCTAGATAACAAATGCATATCTTGAGACTACGGACAATAAGGCGTAAATCCTATTTTGGAAGACTTGTTCGGACCACGGATCACAAGGCGTAAACTCTATTTTGAAAGGCTTGTTCAGGTTATAGTCAGGTACGCATAAACCGACCTAAAATACTCTACCTAACAAATATATATATATCCACCTTATAACTAAAATGAAAAATGTTATAACTTTAATTTTTTGAGACATAATTAATAATAAAAAAAATCATAAATAAGAAAATTTGTTATAACTTAACAAAAAATGACATAAATAAAGATGTATATAACATACTTTTTTAGAGGGATGTATATTAAAATTTCTTATAGATTTAAAAAGGAAAAAAAAAACAATGAAAATATAAAAAAATAAATAAAAAAAAAGAAGACAAAATTATATTTCATTGGCATTTTTTATATTTTTATCGCCTACTGTGGGGCCACTCCTATTAAACGAATTATTAAAGGATTGTTTGGGGTGTCTTAAATAAGTGTATTTTTTGTCTTTTTGGACTAAAAAATTGAGAAAAAAATATGGATGTTTGGGTTAATTTTTTGAATTTTTATGAAAAAATGTGTATTAAAAAATTGTATAAATTAGTGTGTAGAGGAAAATTAGGATTGAGAGTTGTTCAGCCGTAATTTTTAACTTTTGGTGAATAGTGATAAATTTTTAACTTTTTGAGTAAAAAATATAAAAAAAAAAAAAAAAAAAGACAAAATTATATTTCATTGGCATTTTTTATATTTTTATCGCCTACTGTGGGGCCACTCCTATTAAACGAATTATAAAAGGGTTGTTTGGGGTGTCCTAAATAAGTGCATTTTTTGTCTTTTTGGACTAAAAAATTGAGAAAAAAAAATATGGATGTTTGGATTAATTTTTGACTTTTTATGGAAAAATGTGTATTAAAAAATTGAATAAATTAGTGTGTAGAGGAAAATTAGGATTGGGAGTTATGCAGCCGTAATTTTTTACTTTTGGTGAATAGTGATAACTTTTAACTTTTTGAGTAACTTATTAATTTTTTGACTTTTTTTAAGATTGCCAAACTTGGCCTAAATGTGTTAAGTGATCCCACAATTACGATGAGCGTACCCCCCAAAAAAAATGTACTTCAACAAAAAAAAAAAAAGAAAAGAAGAGTAATTATACTTTTGGTTTTAAATTATGTGTTTTGTGTCATTTTTATCTCAATATTTCAATTGTGTTGTGTGTCAATTTGTGATATTACCCACTGAATTTTGTGCTGAAAATAGTATGGACTCTGACAGTGTTAGACACGAGGATCAATATGACACATTGTACATTTTAAAGACGAAATTAACACAGTTAGCATAAGACGTACATAGCTGTTGTTTTTCTTGTTTTTTCCTTTTGGATGAAGAAAGTTTTTTTCAATTTCATTAGACAACTTTGTGTAAGCTTGACATGAAGGATGTTCAACTTGTAGAGATGCAACATTGGAGTATTCAAAGCAAGTAAAGAGATTAGGGACTACCATATTTGAATTGCTATCAGAGGCACTGGGGCTCCAACCCGACTACCTCCTCGAAATGGATTGTGCAAAGGGGCATGCCATTCTGAGTCATTACTACCCGGCATGTCCAGAGCCCGAGCTGACCATGGGCACCAGCAGACATTCGGATCCTGATTTTCTAACTATCCTACTTCAAGATTCTATTGGGGGACTCCAAATACTTCACCAAAACAAATGGGTTAATGTTCCTCCAGTCCCTGGAGCTTTGGTTGTCAACATTGGTGATCTCTTACAGGTCAAGCAAGCACTTGTTACATTCAAACTAATTTCTTTGTGATGATCCTAATTTCCATCAGTTTATCTCTCTTCATATATCATGTTGGTACAACAGACAAAGGTGGCGAAAAAAAGGCCCAGGAGAGGGGCATTGCACCCCGTCTATTTTGTATCAATATCAATTTTAACCTATATTTATAAAATTGTTTTTGCAATTTGCCTCTTCTAAAATTTTAGATATGCCCCTTTCCTTCTTTTTTTTTCATTTTTTTTTTCATTTTTTTTGGTTAGGTATATCGGAAGTTGTAAACTTTTGACCTATTAGTGAAGTGAAGAGCATGGATCTGCTAAAATGATTTTTTCTTAGAGTAATCCTAAAGTGATGTGTTGTATGGCTAAGATTTAATGTTAAAGATGTTAAACTGATTTGTTGTGCCTAAGTATTAAAGCTCAGTCATACAAGACATTATTTTAGGATTAACCCTATATTTTAGAAATTGAGTTTGCATTATGAATTTGCAAGTGCTTGCAAGTTTATTCTTCATGTAAAAAAAATTCCTTGTGTAATGAATATGTGTATTAAGTATGCAGGATGTTTGTTTACTTGTTTGATAAAATGCTTCAAAGAAGTGAATATCATTAAATAAAGTTGTGAGCCTAAAAACTTAACCTTTATAAAATGAGTTTGCATTATGAATTTGCAAGTGCTTGCAAGTTTATTCTTCATGTAAAAAAATTCCTTGTGTAATGAATGTGTATTTAGTATGCAACATGTTTATTTACTTGCTTGATAAAATGCTTCAAAGAAGTGAATATCATCAAATAAAGTTGTGAGCCTAGAATCAAGTCGTTGCATAGAAGTCGAGCAAAAGGAATCAATTTTCATATGAAGTTCCTATTTTTTTTTCCTCGCAATGATTGGTGATAATCAAGTTGTTGAAGGCGTAGACAAGTTCACTTGCCTCATTAATTATTAGGAAGATTATTTACTGGTTCTTCTATTTTCTTCCAGCTTATGTCCAACGACAAATTCAAAAGCGTAGAACACAGAGTGTTGGCAAACCATGAGGGGCCAAGACTATCCGTGGCATGCTTTTTCAATCTACATAATTATGCATCAACAAGGATGTATGGCCCCATCAAGGACTTGTTGTCAGAAGATAATCCCCCTATATACAAGGAAATCACATTTAAAGAATTTGCTGATCACTACAATTCAAAAGGACTTGATGGGAAATCTTCTTTAACAAAGTTCAAATTATGATGAGGTTGGTTATTTCAATTTCATAGGACATTTGGCTAGAGCTAATGCTATGATTCTGTAGTAAGCTATAATCATTTCTTTTTTTGTTTTGTTTTTGTTTTTGAAAATAAGTAAGAAACGCATGTACTCTTGTCTCTATCAAGACTTAAATCCTATGCCGTTATGTGTCTTGTATTGAACTCGAGTTTGTATTGACATCTGCAAATATAATATATAGTTCAAACTAGATATAAACAATTCTATATTGAGTAATGTGTTTTTCCTTTCATTATTGAGATGTTGCTTTGGATTAATGCACCCTGAGTGCCATTCAACTTGTGGTAAATTGTGAAGATGTCTAAATCTTATTAAATTCATCTCCTTAAGATCTTATGATGCTGAAGTGATAATAGGGAATCCAAAGTCTTCTTAAATCTGTGTCTTCTTTTGTTGTGATTGTTCTCCACTTCATTTGTTTATTTTGTTGTGAGTTTTCTATTAGCCTCCGTTTGGGAAGTGGGTTGGCTTTTTGATTTTTTGGCTAGTTAAAAGCTTGGTTTGGGAAAGACTTTTTGGCTTTTTGTCTTTTTTGAGTTTTTTTGTGAGAGAAGAATGTAATGATTATGGGTTGGATGTGATGTTTTCTTTGTTATGGATAAAATAGCTTATTTTGTTTTTTGTGGCTAAAATAGCCAAAAAAGTCTACAAACCCACTTGCTAAACATAGAGCTTTCATGAGACCTTTCACACTACAATTTTTAGCTAAAATACTAGTACGGTATATTATTCTTAGGATTGTTGATTTTTTTTTTTTTTTTTTTTAAAAGATTTTGTTAACAAGTGTCACAAGATACTTCACTATAATTTCACAACACTCTTGATTGATTTTACAATTGTAATTTTTTAACCTTTCATTTATACTATTTCTAAAATACTTTTTTACACAAATTTTAATATTAAATAATATTTCAAGAGCACTGCTTAGTGTTTGCTTTTCTTGTAATAGAATAGATCCTTTGTTAATAGTATATAGCAAAGTATATATCCCTATTCGATCATATTTCTCTTCCACTTTGTTCTTCTTTTATCTTTGTTAATGATATATAGCAAAGCATCTATTCCATCATAAACTTTACCACTTTGTTCTTCTTTATTTTCTCCTGGTTCTCTCACTTTTTATTTTCTAAACCAATTTCTCCAACATAAAAATAAAAAATACAAATAAAACCAAACAACAAACAAAAGCAAAAAAAAGGGTGTTATATTTAAAGATTTTTTTATTATTTTATTTTAGCACATACATAATAGCATATGTTTGTTCTTGATTTTTGTTTTTCTTATAATCTTTCCTAAATATTTACGACATAAATGTGAAGCAATTCAGCAACATATAGCAATTTTGAATGTGAAAAAAAAGAAAAGAAAAAAGGTTATACATTACTAATTTTTATATATATTATTCACTGCTATTTATAATAATTAATTTTAAATAAAAAATCAAATTATGAGTATCTAAATAAATGGTGATGTAGTCTTTTCTTATCTAAACAAAAAAAAGGTTATGTGGCAAAGATAACTTAAATCATATATTTTTGGATTTTACTATATTAAACAGATCAAAAAAAAAGATTTTAAAAAAAAGGGTAAACTTTTGATTTTTTTAATTTTTAGTGAAATTTTTTTTGAAATTTTTTTGCTTTTCAAATTTATACACAAACGACCAATAAGTTAAAAACATTTTGCAATAATTAAAAAAAATACTAAAACTAAAAAAATTAAAAAATTAATTATATGCTAGACTCACTTTAGTGTTTTAATGCACCAAGCAAAGTCAAGTTCACCCATTGACTTTAATCGCAAGTGGTGGTCATTATCGCAGGGAGTGGTGGTTTTGACAAATTAGTTAAAAGTTAGTTTTTTTATTTTTTATTTTTTTTAATCATATTTTTTTTTATATCTTTTTTTAAAAATAAGTTTAAAAAAATTAAAAAATTAATTTTTAATCAATTTCTCAATTATTTGAAAATGAATGTACTCTCTTTCAGTTTTCGATTTAATTTTCACAATGTGTTATCAATTTTTGAAGATACGTGTAAATTGACATCACACAACATCCGGCCATAAACCACCGGGGATGGTGGCCCGGTGGAGAAAGCAACTCGTCTCTACAGGTTTGACCCAGGGTCGAATCCTGGGGGGAGTGTGGAAGTGTTCTCTTTGAGACCCTCTTTATACTCCGATTCGAACCCTTGGCAGTCTGTGGCGTATAGTTGAGCTCTCCTAGTACCCTGGTGGTGGGTCTCTCACATGTTCCTGGTGCCCCGGTAATGGGTCTCTCACATGATGGGGTTAATTCCTAACTGGCAACCGATTATCCCGGGATCAGGGCCTATGGGACAGTGATGACATCTCAGAACCCTTTTCTTTCTGATAAAAAAAAAAAAAAAAAAAAAAAAAAATTCACCCATTGACTACAATCTACCACAAGTCAAGAAGATGATATGAGTTCATGTCCATGATTAGTTCTTCTCCTCTCACAGTCACAACAGAGAGAGAGAGAGAGAGAGATTGATGGCCATTGATTGTGTGTGGCATGATCATCCACTCCAACTGAGATCAATCCCAACAGACACCCAAGCTCTCTGCTTCGTTTGCTGTCAACCGTTATCAGGTTACCATTATCGCTGTCCAGATTGCACCTTCTTCCTCCACATTTCTTGCCTCAAACTTCCCCTCCAATCTCTCCACCCACTCCACCTCCCCCACCACCTCTCTCTCCTCCCCAATCCACCTCCCAATCCCCACAACAACAACCCCGAAATCCTCTGCACCCATTGCCAAACACCTTGCTCTGGCTTCACCTACCACTGCTCACTCTGTTCCTTCACTCTCCACCTCCACTGCGCTTCTCAACGCCATCATTTCAAACTCGAAATCCACCACCACCCTCTTGCATTTTCGGTCTCTCCGCCAAATGGGTTCGAGTCGTTTCGCTGCAATGTTTGTGGTGATTTTGGTTATGGGTTCAATTTGGGTTGTGTTGGTTGTGAGTTTTTTGTCCATATCGAGTGTTCTGCACTTCCAGTGTTCGTGAAAAGTCCTCGCCACCGACACCCTTTTTCGCTGACCTCAATTCGGTCCATTGACGATGGAACGGATGAATATTACTGTGATATTGTTTGTGAGGGTGAAGTGAACCCGAAAGGCTCTGTTTACTATTGTGCTAAATGCAATTACATGGCTCATTTAGGTTGCTTGACTTCTGCTCCAAAGCCTTATATCAAATTCTCTTACAGGGATGTTGATGTTTCATCTTCTCAGTCTCTAAATCAATCAAACACTCAAATGGATCAAATTGGATTTGATAATGGTGTTTTTAATCCTCCATCATGTGAAAATGATGATGAAAATCTAACCAAGTTGAGTCATCGTTACGCTGCACTCCGAGCAGGCGATGAATCGTCAGAGGTGGTGGGGAAGATTGTACACTTTAGCCACCAACAACATCCCTTAGTCCTCAATGATCTTAAGAAAAATGGAGTTATATGTCGTGGGTGCTGGGGACAAATCCTGGGTTTCGCCTATAGTTGCAGCCAATGCAACTTCTTTCTTCACCGGTGGTGTGCCGAGTTGCCTCCCAAGATTCAACATCCAATCCATCCTAATCACACTCTCACCCTCATCGCAATCTCGTCATCGCCTAGTAATCAGTGCAATGCTTGTAGTGAGCCTTGTGATGACTTCACTTTCAACTGCAAAATCTGTTCTTTTAACCTCCATGCCATGTGTGCTTCGATACCGAGCACAATTATAACTGGGATTCACAACCACCCTCTTTTCCTTCGCCAAAAGAGACCCTATTCGATCAAATGCAATGCTTGTCGTAGCGATTGCAATGGCACGGTCTTTGAATGCGAAAGGTGTGATCTTGTGCTTGATTTCAAATGTGCATTATTGCCTCACAAGGTTAGACATAAATGTCATATTGATCCTCTGGCCTTGACTTATGTTCCTGTTCCTGTTGAAGATGATTCTGATGAGTTTTACTGTGACGCTTGTGAGGAATTGAGAGACCCAAACCACTGGGTTTACTACTGTGCTGATTGTGAATTTAGTGCTCATATGACTTGTGTGGTGTCTGAACTACTTGGAGGTCCTCCATCAAAGGGACTCATCCAGTTTGACCACCATGAGCACCTTCTTAGTCTCATCACAAAACCCCCTTTCAATTCTTCTTGAAACTAGCTGTGTTGATCTTCACTCGTGTATTAATCTCTTGGATAGCAACACTACGTCCCAGAAAAAATGCCCAGAATTCCAAATGTGTGGATTCAAATTGTTAGTGCTTTTCTGATTTTATTTTATTTTTTCTTTTCTGAGTACCTAGTATTTCTGTCTATCTTGCTTACAATATGTGTTATTACTGAGTGATTATTGTCTCCTCAAGACTTGTTTGTGGGAATGAGTTTGCGTTTGGCTATTACTATCCTGTAATTACAGGTCCTGTCAATAACAGTTACATTGATGTTGCAATAAATAAGATGTTTATGATTGTTAAGTTACGTCTCAGTTTTTGTTTCTGATTTTAGTTTTGTATTAGATTTGTTGATTCTGTTACTTTCTATTGATTTTGTTTTTTAATTTTCTTTGCATTGAGTTCATGGAAACCCAATTGTCATGACTTACAAACTTCTTTGTTTGTAAATTCCTATTTTTGTAGTGCTTGATTTGTCCGTGATATGCATACTACACCAACCAGTTCAGGATCTTGTATATATGTTTTGATACTTATCACAAATCTGAATCAAAATCATCCATCCCATTCCCTTCACTGATGATGCCAATGAGTTGTAGGATTATTGGTGCAGATGGTGATTTTGGGACCCAATTAGATTGCTGTATATCTGTCATCATCCCAATCTGTCTCTTCACAAGAATTCTCACAAACTAGATTAGAAGCAAAGCAACCATGACTGAGATGAAACAAGATTCTACGCGCACTATGATGGCATTTCTACCTTAAGTCGCATTCTGGCACTTGCTTTTGTGTTGCCATTTCTAAATTATTTTTTTCAGCAAGTCTACGAACACAAAAAATGACCCAGAAAATACCGTGTCATCACATGTTTAGGCAGCCCCACTCTTTTGCTTGGGATAATTGCAAATAAGTTGAAGGAATAAAAAAAAAAAAAATGCATATCGGTGGAAAAATAAAAAATAAAAAATGTAGAAGACGTGGAAGCTTGAAAAATAATTACAAACCAGTAGAATAACAAAAATGCCTCTCTTCCTTTGTCCCTCCTCTGCCATTCATATCTCCGGCCACCCATCAGTGGCCACCACTTCCATACCCTCCCCGCCATCTCCAATCCCTTCCCTCCCATGCCTACATCCCTATCCCCAAACCCTCCGCCACCCTTTCCAGCCATCCTCTCCGCCATCCTCCCCACCATCCCTCATTGCTGCCTGCCATTTCAAGCTCCTCTCATTCCCACCCAACAACCCCTTTCCCCAAAACCTGTTGAGAGTCATCACTAACTCTCCTCACTCTTTAGAATCTTCTCTCTAGAATATTGTAGAAGTTTCTACATGAATCTAGAATACTTCGGAAAGATCTAAAAGATTTTGAAAGGCCTAGAGAAATCCGGAAGATTCCTAGAAGGTTCCGGAACATTAAAGAAGTTTGGAGAAAACTAGAGAAATCTAGAAAGTTCTGGAAGGTTCTAGAATATTTTAAAGAAGAATAGAAAGCTCTAATATATATAATAGTAATCTCTCAGGATCTGAAGAGTATTTCCAAAACCACTTCTCCATAAGTGCATTCTATAAAATTCTTTAACTAGTATAAATATGAGATGAGTGCATGTACTAGACAATTGGACAATTGAGTGAAAGAAGAGTGAGTCCAAAGTGAGTGGTCAAGCACTATCTAGTGTGAGGTGTCTCAAGGTCTTATGTGAGGAAGACACAATGTGTGAGTGCTTGAATGTATGTGTGAGTGGATAAGTAAAGTGTATTAGTGTGTGATTGTATACAAGTGTTTTGTGTACTAGAGTGTTATCAATAAGGATTGTATTTTTGGGTCCACCATTGTGTCTGAGAGGGAGATTTATGATCTGGAATTGGGCCGGACGGGTTTGGGCTGAACAAGGATTGGGCCGAGGTAGTACGGCCCTGTCTTGAAAGATCCTGCTCAGTTAATGCAAGACGTGGTTTGACCGAGCTACATAGCTTCTTGGTATCGAAGCCTGTCAAATGGGTCGTCCGGCGTCAGGAAAGACATGGTTAGACCGAGCTACATGTGTTTGCTCGGCAGTAAGGCCCACGGCAAACAAGCATAGCTGTCCTGAGGTCGGCGATGCCGGGATATGCCCGAGCTCGGTCGAAGTGGAGCGCGGCGAGCGGGGCGCTCTAGCCAGCTATACAACACAGCCATCTACAGCCGAGATGATGCAGCCCGGCTGCCGAGCTCCCAGTAGAGTGGGCTGGCAGTCGGGTTAGGTGATGTTCAGCAAGATTTGTGCTGACAATTGGAATAGTAGCACCACGTGTTGAGAGACGAATGAGAGTGGATTTGGCGCGCAGAAGGTATAAAAGTAAGTCTGCGCCACCCATGCTGGGCGGATGACAGTTTTTTGGTGAGATAAACACTAAACACTACTGAGTCCTCTCTCTCTCTTTATCCTTGTGTGTGTGTCTAACTTGATCGTCGGAGGAGTTTTCCGGCCACACACCGCCGGGTAGCTCACCGCCGTTGTGCACGCAGGTGATCAGATTGAATCGGAGCTCGGAAGCAAGGAGTGCGGGCTCGCCTGGATATTTGTCCCCCGCACAGTGTCAAACTCAACAATTTGGTATCAGAGCTTGGTCGTTCGGGGACCGACACGAAGAGCGATTGAGATTGATACAAAAGATTGTTGAAGCCAACAAGCACAGTTGTTATGGCGGATTTCGGAAACTTCATCGGTGGTATGGAGAAATTAAGTTATTAAAATTATGATTATTGGAGAATATGCATCGAGGCATATCTTCAAGGACAGGATCTATGGGAGATTGTTGACAGCAAGGAAACTGCATCACCTGGAGAAGAAAATGCAAAGGCCTTGCGAAAGTAGCAGATTAAGGCTGGAAAAGCGATGTTCATGTTAAGGACAACTGTTCAGAAAGAGTTATTGGAGTATGTTCAGGAGGCTACTACTCCAAAAGCAGTCTGGGACACATTTGTGGCATTATTTTCGAAAACAAATGATGCACGACTTTAGTATCTAGAGAATGAGCTTATAACGGTGACACAAGGATCAATGACTATCAGTTAATATTTTCTCAAGGTAAAGACTCTTTGCAATGAAATTTCACAACTTGATCCTGAGTCAAAAATTAGCGAGTCAAGAATAAGGCGTATTATCACTCGAGATTTAAGACCCGAGTATAGTGGGCTTATGGCCGCTGTTAGAGGATGGTCCACTCAACCATCACTGGTCGAGCTCGAAAGTCTATTGGCGAATCAAGAAACTCTAGCAAAGCAAATGGTTAGAGTCACACTAAAGAATGGAAGTGAAGAAGAGGAATTATTCAATAGCAAGAAAAGAGATGGCCTGAAGTGGCAAAAATATGGAAAATCAAACAAAGAAGAAGATGAACAATCACAAGATGATCGAAGTTCTTAACGAGGGGGAGTTCGACAAGATGAAAATGATCGAAGAGTTACTAGATTTGGACGACGCAACATAGGGTGCTTCAAATGTGGCAAGATTGGCCACTACGCAAAAGATTGTTGGTCAATGAGAAGACCAATTGAAGGTAATATGGTAACATCTAATGGTTACCAAGATAAGAGTGAAGAAGAATGAGATTTCCAAGCTTCATGTGCAATGTTGGAGACTGTGGAACTAGGTTACTTAGAAGAAAAGCCAAAATTTGAAGAAGAATGGGATTTTGAAGCATCTCCTACAATGTTCATGGTTACTAAAGCAGATTCAAAAGAGGAGATAGACTTCGATGAAGGCGTATATGAGTAGTGCAATGCAATGACCAAGGAAATGGATGCATACTCTATTATAGATGAGTCGACTCCTACAGCTAAGTCTCAATCTTCAAGAGTTAAAGATCTGGAAGCTCACCTAGCAGAGAAGTTGGGAGAGCAAACAAAAGAAGAAGAAGTTGAAGAAGTGATAAAGCTACAACAATCAATATCTGCAAGGTAATGTCAACACAATCCAAGGTATGTTGATGCAACCTTTGCTAAAATGGATGATATAAAGGAGCTAATAACATTTCAGGAAACAACAAAATTTAATAATTAGAGGAAGATGATGAAAGAGGAAGGTATTGCATTAAGACAGAGTCGAACTTGGCATTCGGTACTTAAGCCCAAGGATTTAGATTGTATATTCAGTCAAGGACCTGGTGTTCCATGGAAGGATAAAGTGTGTGGCAATGTGTCATCACTTCAAATAGAAGAAGTCGTTACTGGAAAAGATGGAGACAAAATTTATCGTGGTAGAGAACTAGGGTGCAGAAATACTCACGAAGAGTTTCTGAAATAACATGACATGGTTACGTAATCTAGAAATGAGAGTTAGTGCTAAGGGGGACTGTTGAGAGTCATCACTAACTCTCCCCACTCTTAGAATCTTCTCTCTAGAATATTCTAGAAGTTTTCACATGAATCTAGAATACTCTAGAAAGATCTAGAAGATTCTGGAAAGACCTAGAGAAATCCGGAAGATTCCTAGAAGGTTCCGGAACATTAAAGAAGTTTGGAGAACACTAGAGAAATCTAGAAAGTTTCGGAAGGTTTTAGAATATTTTAGAGAAAAATAGAAAGTTCTAATATGTACTAGAGTAATTTAGATTGTTTTAGAGTGTAAGGAAAGTAAGGGAAAGTATAAGTGTATTCTAGAAAGTTCTTTAACTAATATAAATATGAGATGAGTGCATGCACTAGACAATTGGACAATTGAGCGAAAGAAGAGTGAGTCCAAAGTGAGTGGTCAAACACTATCTAGTGTGAGGTGTCTCAAGATCTTGTGTGCGGAAAACACAAAGTGTAAGTGCTTGAATGTATGTGTGAGTGGATAAGTGAAGTGTATTAGTGTATGATTGTGTACAAGTATTTTGTGTACCAGAGTGTTATCAATAAAGATTGTATTTCTAGGTCCACCAGTGTGTCAAACTCAACAAAATCTAGGAACCACACCCACCCAAATCCCCCAGCCACTCCCCATCACAACTCTAAACCCCCTACTCTGTTGTTGCGAAAACATGTTAGGTGCAAAGTCACTTGAATCAGGGTGCAAGTAAACATAATGTGTAACAACTCGAAAATTTAAGTTGTCTTTTAAATTTTATATTAGTATTATTTAATTATAAAAGACAACATGTTAGGTGCAAAGTCACTTGAATCAGGGTGCAAGTAAACATAATGTGTAACAACTCGAAAATTTAAGTTGTCTTTTAAATTTTATATTAGTATTATTTAATTATAAAAGACAACATGTTAGGTGCAAAGTCACTTGAATCAGGGTGCAAGTAAACATAATGTGTAACAACTCGAAA